CCAAAATCCGTGCCTAAAGCCCCATAGGCAGCTGAGCCGCTCAGCATCCCTCACCCTGCCAGGCCAGTGCACACGCGAGCAGTTGTTGGCCTTCCCAGAGGAGCAGGGATACTCCTGGAATCCTTCCCTCCGGCCATCCTGCGGCACAGCAGCCAACACAGAAGCCACTGGGGCAGCCAACCCCAAAGCCAGCAGCACGCGCAAGGGCTCTGCTCTCTCCTCGGCAGCCATGGTCTTCCCAGGGTGGGCAACAGCAAAGAACAAGGGCCTCAATCTTTTGAGGCTAAACCGCTCTGAAACGGAGCCAGAGCAGCTCCACGGCATCCTTGTTTTTTGGGTGTCATACTTACAGAGGTGGACTGGGAGTCGTGTGTGGTCTCCGCCGGCAGAGCTGCCCGTTAAAACGTGGCAAGAGTTCCAGGAGAGTCGCCTTTGTCAGGCGAGGCGAGCGTGCGCCTCAGATCCCGGCTGCACAGACACGACCTCCTCCCTCAGCCCTCTGCCACTGGCCCTCCCCTCCCAGGGCGCTCATGGAAAGTTCACGGCAGAGAAAACTGAGGTTTGTTTCAAATCACATTTGCACCAATAGAGACTTGGGAAAGGATGAAGTGTGTAAAAAAAAATGGGAACGCTCCAGCTTATTGTCAGAGGATGGAGGAATTTCACTGGGATTTTTTAAAAGTTGATACGAGGATGAAAAACTTCACATTTCCGTTCAGAAAAAAAAAAGTAATATCAAGTACAAATACATCCAGGGGTAGTTCTTTGCATTCTGAAAATATGGCACAGGTAGTTTTGTCTTAAACTTCAAATTCAGATTTTTTTTTGCTAAGAGATCTCTGATTTTTGGCTTTGTCTGACACGCAGCCAGATGCAGTTCAGGTGTCCTTTCAGCTGTTCTGCCTGCTGCAGTTTTTTTACAGAAGTGCCTGCCTGTGAGTGGAAACAGAAACATCAGAGAGGACTGAGCCCTGTCCCTGCAGCAAAATGAGAAGTTAGGCAGTAACCTGGTGAAACGTGATCAAAAGAAACCTCAGACATCTCTTGCATCAACTCCAATCTCATCTGTCAAAGCCCTTCCAGGAGCAGACACAAAGCTGTAGCTCCTGTTTTTCCCATCCACGCTGACCCAAACGCCCTGTGCTCCAGAGACAGGCCCAGTTTGTCAGAGAAGGTGAAGGGACAGTCAGGCACCCGAGCATACACAGTCCGAACACGCCAGCATCTTACCTTCGGGCTAAACGCAAAAGCCAGAATAACAGAACATTAAGAACAAGATCTCCCCCACCGACCCATTATCTACAAGCTGTCAGAAGCCGAGCAAGGTCCTCGGGGTTCAACAAATAATTGCACATTTCTGCATTTTCATTTAGCGATCGACCAACTGTTCCTTTCCTACTCCCAAGCCGAGCTGGACATTAACAGGCTTTTGCTTCTTCGCTACACAAGTACAGAGTAGTCCAAAATTAGCTTGTAGAAAATTTGATCATTCCACTAAAAAACAGGAAGTACTTATGAAACAGACACCTTATACACGAAAAAAAAGAACATTAAACCGAACTCAAATTATCAGCCTAAACATGCACTGTTCTCTGGAGACATCAGCTAAGCACGATGCAAAACTACCATGTAAATTAGGTCTTAGCATACTGACTTCATATTCGTCGTGGTCATGTGAATGGCAGAAGGACGTTTACCAATAAATTGTACTGGGGTTTTCCACACAAAACCAAGCAGCAAGCAGAAATAAGGCTTTTGTCTAAAAAAGGAAGCTTACAAGGTGTCCACATGGGAGAAATAAAACCTCTCATTTAGGGAAGGGAGTGGGTGGGGTGGTTACCAGCCAGCATAAAACGGCTCCGTGGCCGCGTGTTTGTATTAACAGCAAACCAGCTGCGGCTTGATCCCTCCCGCATCAACAACACAAGCGTGAATGCACGTGTTTCTGTACAGAGAGGGGGCAAAAATTAAAGCTTTCTTGTCAAAATTTTCCAAACTCAGCTTACTGGTGTTTATCTGAACTCTAAAATTATCAAGTAGAAAAAACCCACCAGTATTCCTCACCAGGGAAGAAATAAAGCAGCAGTTGTTGTTCCTTATCCTGTGTATTTGCTTGTTGTTTCTTGATGAAAACTGATGGGAGTCGAGTTTTGGGTCAGTTTTAGCACCAGGAATTATCTCAAAAGTCAGCTTTGACAGAAGCAAGCAGAAAGTTTTCTCTCAGATATAATACAACCAGGTTTTATTTAAGTTCTCTCTTTTTCCCCCCCCACACTGGCAAAAGTTCAGAGGGAGTTTAAAGTTTTGTAAACATTTTAACTACCCCTCTTCCCCCTTTTATGAATTTACAAAGCAAAGGAGACAGGGAGACCAGATTTGCAACAGTTCCAAGTCTCTCCATGCTATTGGATCCAAAAACTATATACAAGTCTGCAGCAGTCTCTGTATAGTTACTGTACATGTTCGGGGGCAGGGGGAAGAGAGAGGAGGAGGAGGAGGTGAAGGTGACCCCAAAAACGAATAAACCAAACGAAATAAAATCCAAAGCCAAACTGCTCTCGAGTAACTCGAACTGTTTTCTTTAGGCAGTGATGACAGAACAACAGACACCTTTGTACAACTCCACCAAAACCGCAGCGAATCTCCCTTGGCAGGCTACAACCCTCTGGGAATGGGAGACGGGACCAGGGGGTTGAAACTAAGTGCATTTGGCAGTTTCTGTTTTCTCTCTTTCGTGGTGCGTGCACATGGGCGGGTGGAGAAGGGAAGGTGGTGTTAATCTTTCGGTGGGAGAGGAAGGTTACGACTCCATAAACGTTTAAAGGTTATGGATCCCAGTGAAGGTGCGCGAGATAGTTTAAGGTGTAGAAGATAAGCAGGGCTGTCATTGCACATAGCTTCGCCCTCCACAGTCTCTCTTCATGACAAAAGGGCAGCTCTGCTCCTTAACCCGAGCACTGCTTGAAACGGCAGCTCGCTACAACTGCCGGGGGATATATCTGAAAGCCAGTGTTCACCCTCACCAAAGAGTAAAGATCCACACGGTAAAGATCCTACTGTGTCTCTTAAACGAGACAAATTTGCAGCAAAAGAGCTCAAAATAAACTGGTCCTAACCCTCCAAAGGTAGCATTTAAGGGATAAATTCAACCTGAAAGAAGAGATGCCACCCCCTTTTTTTTTTTTCCCAGAGTAGAAGTCCCCACGTGTCCAGGAAGGCAGGAATATGCCGACGGGGAGCTCCACCAGCTTCAGCATCACCACCTAATGAAGACAGACTCGAGCTTTCCCTCCAGAAAATAATGTGCTGAGAAGGGCTGGCAGGGGGTGTGCAACTTCAAACCAACCCAAGCTAAACTGCGCCCGCCACCGCCCCTTCTCCCGCTGTTGCCAGTTCTAAGGTTAGCTTATGAATGCAACTCCTGGCTTGGGAGAGCACCTCTTGCCCTGATGGAGCGCGGAAGTCAGTATCTGTGTGGCATTTTGGTTTTGACCAACATCTGTTAACCACAAACTCTCTCTCTCTCTCCGTGACTGCACGTGTTGGATGTGGTGAGAGTAACCAGGAGAGGGAAGCAACGGTTTTGCAGAATCCAAATTGATTATTTTTTTTTTCCAGGTATGTCAGCAGAAGAAATCACAGCACAGTGAAAGCTTGCTGCCCAGATCAGCCTCGCTGTGAAGGAATCCTATCTCCCACCCTCCCAGGACTCTGAATAAAGTTCACTTGACTCTAGGCTGACGGTAGGAATGATGCCTGTGCAGTCCTGGGCACAAAGGGTTTACTGGGGCTAGAGGAAGCAGCCTGAGATGATTGATTCTGTGATTCACTGCGAGGCAAAGAAGATCGCATGGTGGAGAGTACTGTGTCCGAAACAGAGAATCCATGGTTAACAGATGCAGGAAAAGCCAGTCGATTTGCACATGCTCAGTAGTCTTCCAAAGTCTCTATTTCTCCCATATTGAGCCGCTCTGATGAGGCATTCACTGAAAACCCTGTAAAGCAAAAAGGACTTGCGTTACAAATCTGGATGTGGCATATTGTATGTGATACGATACATCTGCTACATGCAGCAGCGCGTGTAAGATACAGTGAGCAACGTACAGCGAATAAAAACTCAAGAGGGAAATTCAGTTAAGGCTGGATATAATTACTCTGTTTTTATCTTTAATAAACCAAAGAGAATCAACCGTATATTTAGGGAAGTATCACTCGGTTTTTAAAAACAGATCATCAGAAGACTGTGTTCAGCCTTCAATTAAAAGACGTCACCTGCAGAGCTGGTGCAAGAAGTATCTAGGCACAGCGGTGCCGTGGCTCAGCAGCGTCACCTCACGTTCTGAGTCCACTGGTACCTGGAAGTATCCGTCAGCACAGAACTCACGCAGCCCCAGGGGCAGAAACATGTTTGGGAACTCGGAATCCAAGCGTGAGGTCATGCTCAACACTTCACGTTCTGAGTCCACTGGTACCTGGAAGTATCTGTCAGCACAGAACTCATGCAGCCCCAGGGGCAGAAATATATGTTTGGGTACTCGGAATCCAAGCGTGAGGTCATGCTCAGCACTTTAGGGTGTTTGAGGAACTCTACCCCTTAAAGTCTAAATACATTACCTATGAAAAATAGTGGCAATTCCATGTATTTCCATGTTTTTTTTACAATCTTCTCTAAATACATTACCTATGAAAAATAGTGGCATATATTTCCATGCTTTTTTTACAATCTTGTGTCTCAAGAGTACAAAATGAAAACATACAAAGTTATGCTGGGCTATGCTCAAGAGT